ACTGAACGGCTAAATAGAATGAACTCATACAAAATGGAGGCAAAGAAAACAAAAGTGAATATAGAACTGAAAAAAAAATACACAGTCATTAGTCGTTTTCAAGAACAATAATACATTCCTGATAAAAAATTTATGACCACTAGAACTTTTTTTTAAAAAAAGACTGTTTTTCATGGAAATTTTTTAACCATTTCTTACTTAACGTTACTAATTTTATAATCTAAAGGTTTATGTAGTTAAAGTTATAATCCGAACATTTTATTGAGAAATTGACATTTTTGTAAAATGAGGCGTTTTACACTTGATCAAAATTATAAGACCAGAGACAAGAATTCTACGAAATTGTACGAAAAGTGTATGAAAACATTTAACAACCAAATTTTATAATGAGTTCTACCTCCACTGGTTTTGATGACTTCAAAAATTCTTTGGGACATGCTAGAAATTAGTGTTTCATTAAGCTGCCAAGAATATTCCTCCAGCTTCTGGAGATAGCTTGATGATGTTCATTTTTTGTTGAATATTGTTTGCCATTTCGATAAACATCTCTTGCCATCCATCCCCAAACATTTTCAATTGGGTTCAACTCCGGTGAGCATGCAGGATGTCTAAAGAGATGAATCCCATTTTCTTGTATAAAGGTCAAGGGCCGGCAAGCAGCGTGGATTGTAGCATTATCCTCTTGGAATAAACATCCATTCCCACACAAACGATGGCCCTCCATCACCAACGATGCTTTTTGTAGCATGCTAACATAAACTGCTGTCAGCCGACCCTGCACCACCTGGAGCTCCATCGTCCCTCTGTAAGAAAAGGCACCCCATACCATTAGGGACCCTCCATCACTATGACCTGTGGGGAAAATTTCAGGAGGCATGTTTTTGTTATGCCAATATCGTTGGAAGCCATCAGGACCATCTAGATTAAATTTTTCTCATCAGAAAACAGGACTTTCTTCCACTTCTCAATGTTCCATGTTTGATATTCACGACCAAACCTTAAACGGTTCACTTTGTGATGTGGAAGCAGACGAGGAATTTTTTTACACTTTTTATTTACCATGCCTTTTTGTCGTAAGTGACGTCTAATGTTTACTGGACTGCAATTAGCATCTGCAGCTGCCTTGATTTGACTAGAAGAAAGCCCACTAATTTTCACAACAACCCGTCTTATTCTCCTACTCAATGCCGGAGAAATATTTGGGCCTACCAGTAGACTTACCGTTTCCATAATTCGCACTGTCCTTTAGAAAGTGGCACATCACAGTTTTACTACGAATTACCTTAGCTCCTATCGCCCGCTGTGACAAACCTTGATTATGGAAATCTAGAATTCGAGCAAGGCCAACTTCGGTAAGTTTGCTTGCTTTAGGCATGGTGACACCTTTACGCAGTGATTGCTAATTTCTAACTGAACGAAAAACATTGGAATTACCCTAGATCTAACAATTTATACCCCATGGTCTTATACTTTTGATAAATTGTAAAACGCCTCATTTTATAAAAATGTCCATTTTTGAATGATCGGATTATAACTTTTTGTCTACATAACCTTTTAGATTATAGAATTAGTGACATTAAGTAAGAAAAAGTTTATAATATATCCATGAAAAACACTGTCTTATAAAAAATTTTCAAGTGGTCTTATATTTTTGGTCAGGAGTGTATATATGCTACGGTTTTGAATTTAAGAAAAGTTCAATTAACTTGTTGTTTTTTATTTTTAGAATATTATAAATTTAGATCTCATATTGGTCATATTGACGATGTCATTTACAAGCGCCGTAGATCTATTTTTAAAACTTGATTTAAAATACTCTTCATTATTTTTTGCAGTTAAAGTACACATTATTCTGGCATTTTCTTTTCAATTACATTACATTAAATTAAAATGATGTCAACCCTGCACAAATTCAAAGAGCCACTCGAGGTAGAGGATTATAGAATAAAAGACACAGTTCATGAGTAAATGTCAGAAGATAAGGGTTTTTACTATACTTGAACAGGTTAAGATTGTGGATCGAATGGAACTTACATCTCATCAGCGGCATATATATATATATATATATATATATATATATATATATATATATATATATATATATATCATCTATATACATATATATATATATATACATATATATATATCATCTATATATATATATATATATCATCAAACTGGATATATATATATATATATATATATATATATATATATATATATATATATATATATATATGTGTATCAAGAATACTCTACACAAACGGTTACATAAAAGATGAAAGAAATTTTACGATAGATGGCGTATATTTGTAGTAGTCTTCATTTGTTAATTGTGGTATATTTGTAGTAGTCTTCAACGTTTAATGTGTGTGAATTAACTGACAAGCCTTCCATTTATACAATGCGAGGATATTCATATTGTGGGCAGGCTGATATGATTTTTGCCTTGCGAATGGTAATGGACGCGAGGCTGCACGACTGTATCAAATTGCGCTTCCAGACCGAAGAAAGCCGAATCATCCACACTTTGCTGCTGTTCATCTTCGCGTTGTTGTGACTGGATCCGTGGCACCGCAAACTGTGGATCGAGGAAGACCGATATTCGCTCTTACGCTTGACCACAAAGAACAAAATCTACAGGCTGTGGTACGACGATCCGGGTATCAGCACACGTCAAGTTGCCTTAGTATGTCGTATATCTAATAATAACGCGTGGAGGTTACTTCAATGTCAGCTCTTGTATCCGTATCATTTGCAACGTGTGCTGTGTCTTTCGAACCTCTGATCACTCTCCACCGGAAAACTTTTGCCGATGGTTTATTGCACAAACTGCCGATACTTTGTTTGTCTCTTCAGTCATGTTAACTGAGAGGCAACATTTTGAAGAGATGGAATAACAAACATAACACAACCAATATATGTGGACGGATCGGAATCCCATGATAAAATACAGGCTAGACACCAGCATCAATTTATAATTAATGTGTGGACTGTGATTGTAGTTGACTGACTGGCAGGTTCATATGCAAACATATCTATTTATTTTTATCATTACAATTATTCTTTTTTTTAGCCATCAAAAATGGACATATATATATATATATATATATATATATATATATATATATATATATATATATATATATATATATATATATATTTCAATAAAGGTGCAATTAATTTATAAATTCATGAATTATTCATACAAAAAAACAAATACAAAGGTTAATGATTTAATTGGCGAGAAATCCATCGTCGCGAACAATTCAAATAATATACAAAAACCCCGAACCTGTTTATGCATGAAAAGATCCTTGTTTCTATAAATTTCTGTTACATGAGTTCTTATTATTTTTACAAGCTTTCGTCTGTTCATACAGACATCCTCAGGTATGGAATAGATTTTGTTCTTGTTTTTTCTCTCAGTAATAAGAGGACAACCAAAATATATGTACTGTTGTAATCCGAAAAATGCTATTAGAAATGAGTTATTGTTTTTGGAGCGTTTTGCATTTGGGGTTTTTATTGAAATTAAAATAACTGATCCAAATGCAACTTTTGGATAATAAGTGCGACATTACTGTAATTATTGAACAATGAAGTTCATGCCACTTTGACAGAAAATTTACCAGTAAAAAAGAATTCACTTATCACCATATTTGTATAAGAACGCACAATTGTAAAATTTAAATTCAAACTCAGCGTTGCGACAACACGCTCCAATTCTTAAAACAGACTAAAATATACCGACTGCATACGGATAGAAAATGAGTTCAACAGATATTTACATTATTCGGACTTCATCTTTGTCGCCATATTTATTACAACGTTTCGGCCTTTCAGTATCTGTCTATATTTATGAGATGAGGTATTATGTACATTATTTACATTATTTGGACTATTGTCCTCATCTTTGTTGCCATATTTATTACAACGTTTCGTCCTTTCAGTATCTGTCTATATTTCTGAGATGAGGTATTATGTACACTATTTACATTATTCGGATTATTTTCCTCATCTTTGTCGCCATATTTATTACAATGTTTCGGCTTTTCAGTATCTATCTATATTTCTGAGATGAGGTATTATGTACACTATTTACATTATTCGGACTATTGTCTCCATCTTACTAGCCATATTTATTAAAACGTTTCGGAATGGATAAATTCTGTATTAGATTTTCGATTGTTTTCATTTTCTTAGCTTTCACAGTTAAATTTCCATTTCTGACACGAATACAGTCTACACTATAATAGACAAAATAGACTATTCCTCATATGAGATTTTAGATTTTATTTTTTATTAATTATATATATATATATATATGTGTGTGTGTGTGTGTGTGTGTGTACACATATTATGTGTGTGAGTTTGTGTAATACACATTTTTTAAAATAAGTAATACACCATTTTAGTTTGTAACGTTCATTAATCATATTAGAAGGAGGAAATGTTACCGTGAAGATAAGATGCGAAATCCTCTCCCCCCCCCCACTACCTACGACCAAAGCTCGCATTTTGTTTTAATTACGTATTATCTGAAGTGTTCAAATTCTTCTGTGCGGTTTGAATTCTTATCAATACCAGGCTGGCCTCGGGGAGAAAATCGATTTGCAAAAATCAATGATCGCACCACTTGGATTGGGTGACAGTTTTTCACTTGTGCGCGCTTTCGTAAACGATGTTCGACATAAAATGAATACGCACACACAAACATCGTTAGGCACACAGGCAAAGAGAAACGCGTGGAAGCAGACGTATACACAGAAAGACGCGCGCATATATCGACAGAAACACTCACACACCGATATTTTAGGGAGTGAAGTATATGTAATATGTTTACATTTGCTTGAATAACATCATAAAAATGCTGAAGATTCCAAAGCAAAAACGGCATAATTTGTAAACTGTAAAAATGGGTTTATCGTCATCATATCCGTCAGAGTGGTAATAATTTCATATGGGAGATTAGTAAATACCGACATCAGATTTCCTTAATGTCGGCCTTACCGTCATCATATTTGTCAGTAAGATAATCTATCTTTCTGTCTATTTATTTATTTCAGTCTGCTCATATCTATCTATCTTTCTATTTAGCTATCTATTTCAGTTTGCACATATCTATCTATCTATCTATCTATCTATCTATCTATCTATCTATCTATCTATCTATCTATCTATTTCAGTCTGCTCATATCTATCTATCTATCTATCTATCTATCTATCTATCTATCTATTTCAGTCTATCTATCTATTTCTATCTATCTATCTATCTATCTATCTATCTATTATCTATCCGCTCATCTATTTCATCTATCTATCTATCTATTTCATCTATCATATCTATCTATCTATCTATCTATCTATTATCAGTCTATCTATCATATCTATCTATCTATCTATTTCAGTCTTTCATTTATCTATCTATTTCAGTTTGTTCATATCTATCTATCTATCTATCTATCTATCTATCTATCTATCTATCTATCTATCTATCTATCTATCTATCTATCTATTTCAGTCTGCTCACATCTATCTATCTTTGTATTTATATCTATTCCAGTTTGTTCATATCTATCTATCTATCTATCTATCTATCTATCTCATCTGTTCATATCTATCTATCTGTTTCAGTCTGTTCATATCTATCTATCTATCTATCTATCTATCTATTTAGTCTATCTATTTCTATTATCTTTCTATTTATCTTTCATCTTTCAGTTTGCTCATATCTATCTATCTATCTATCTATCTATCTATCTATCTATCTATCTATCTATCTATCTATTTCAGTCTTTCATATCTATCTATCTTTCTCAGCCTGTTCATCTATTTCTATTTGTTCATATCTATCTATCTATCTATCTATTTCAGTCTGCTATATCTATCTATCTATCTATTTATCTATCTATTTCAGTTTGTTCATATCTATCTATTTCAATCTGCTCATATCTATCTTTCTATTTAGCTATCTATTATAGTTTGTTCATATCTATCTATCTATCTATCTATCTATCTATCTATCTATCTATCTATCTATCTATCTATCTATGTCAGTATGCTCATATGTATGCCTGTATATATATATATATATATATATATATATATATATATATATCCATTAATAAAAAATATTTTCATTAACACCAGAGAAAAGCAAATTCAAAATTCCCCCATTATTTCTATCGCTTTTATTTCCCCACGTGCTTTTCCATCTTTATACACATGCACATGGGCACACATATACATCAATTTCTCTATTCATGCATATATACATCCATACAACCATCCTTACCCCCCATATATATATATATATATATATGTATGTATGTATATAATATGGATGTGTGTGCATGGTATTGTTTGACTCAAATGTTTTCCTAACCAGTTGAAAACCACGATAAGAAAAACCTAAATGACATTTCATATCATTCTGTTTGCTCATGAATTAATATAAAACTTTTGTTGAGCTTTAAATGGCGACTGGAAACGTTCATCTTAAGAATGACAATCAATCATTAAACAAACAAGTATTTGAAGCTATTTGATGCTAAAAAAAAAGAATGAAAAGAACAAATAGACTGCAATGAATCCCTAGAAAGTGAACTTTGTCCAGCTATACAAGTGAAGTATGGAGAAGCCTTGAAAGCCTTTCATTGCTAAATATTCTCGCAAATGTTTGTTGCTCTTCAGATCCTAAAAAGCAAATTCGTAAAGTAAATAGACAGTGTTATGTTTGCGTCAAAAAGAACACTTTAAGAAACTCGAGAGAATTTGCCGATTGGAAAATTGTCTTTCCTCTTCTAATAGAGAAATATCAGTAAAAGAATTTAGATCGAGTGAGAAATGATGGAGAAAAGAACTGCAAAAATAAGGTCTGTTTTTTTAAAGTCAAGAACAAAGAGAGAAATTCTCTTTCGCCTGCCTGCCTCTCTCTCTCTCTTTCTCTCTCTCTCTCTTTCTCTCTCTCTCTCTCTCTCTCTCTAAGTTGGGTTATTGAGCAGTGCCAGAAAATTTTTCATGTCCTAATCCATCTTGTACAGTTACAAATCTACCATTCGTCCGGGCAGTCAATGAGTGTTGCAACCATATTTGGTCTGCTGCTCCTGCTTTTCCTCTGTAAATTCTTTGGAAAAAAAATAGAAAGAATTCTCTTTAATATAATCGAATAAGACTAATCACGTGACTCCCCTTTGTCTTTCCTACGAAGATTTCCATGGCAACTTCTCTGTTGAGTTCTTTTTGCTTTTTTGTTGAATGTAAGTGTGCTGCAAGGTTGGCAAAATTGCTAAATGCAGTCTCCACATATATTTCAAAAGTTTCCTTTCTCGCACTACCCGCCCGTGTTAACTCCTTCCGTTTCCCAGTTTCCCCGATGACTACAATTTGCAAATATTTAAATGCAACATCTATCGCCATCTTCTCCTTACTTGTACCCCGTATATTTTTGTCCTTCTTCAATCCTCCCTATTGTTAGTCTTCTCTTTCACTTTCACCCGCTACAACTCCCTGTGTACTTGTAGCATTCTCGCCTTTACTTCGGCTAAAATATTATATATATATATATATATATATATATATATATATATATATATATATATATATATATATAATTATTAATCAAATAAATCCTAATCTGGGAATAGTTTATTTCAATTGTGAAGAAAGTGGTCAAATGTCTTTTCTTTTCACACGGCGTTTGAAAAGGCAGACGAGGTAAAAGGATTTGTTTGATTATTAATTTTATTGCTCTGTATAAATTGAATATAATACATGGAACTCTTTTTTGTCTATTAGTTCTAATATTTTTATATTACTATGATCCATTTGATTTATATACCAACGGTTTTTATAACTTACTATATATATATATATATATATATATATATATATATATATATACCGGTTGTTACAGCAAAATTCTCAAAATCGTGTAACAGCGTAGTTATCAATCCCACAAAATGTTTAATACATAAATAAATAAATAAATAAATTGAGTTTCTTTTTACAGCTTATCCATCTTGGCACCATTAGTCGTAAGAATCACTTAAAAACCCTTTGAGTTAAACAAGTAGAAATGGAACAGGTTAAAATCATTTTGTGCTACATCTACTGCCTTCCCAAACGAGCAATGCTGAGAGGAAAAGTTTCACCCAGCCCTTCAGTTATAATACCAACATACATACTCTGGCTTCCATATGAAAAGTTTTTCCAAGAACCACCAAGAGAACAAGGATTAAGCTTTAAAAAAGAGGAAACAATACGGAAGAAAAACTGGATCAGGTTGTCACAATATGAAAAGGGATCATCGTTTCGCCTGAGAGCTAAAGCGATCAGTTAGAAAAGATCCAACCCAATCCATAAGATATCTGGCACGTGAGGGGGGAGTTTTAACTCTAATAGTCCAAGAAACATTAAAATACTTGAAAATGAAATCGTACGTGGAACCTGTACTCCAGGGCAGAAACCTAGAAGGTTAGAGCGGATGAAGATCATCTTAATAATCTTGGAATATATATATATATATATATATATATATATATAAATGACGAAATATAGTTTTAAGGTGTATTATATTTATGGGATAAGGTGTTCAATATCAGAGATAGAGCGTATGTAAATATAAATATAAAAGTGAACATTGAAGTCAACACTCAGAGGCGACAGGCTGTTTCATGCTGGGCGCAATCAGCCTGACGATTGCGTCTAGCATGAAACAGCCTATCGCCTCTGAGTGTTTACTTCAATGTTCACTTTTTTATAATTATTTGAACTTTATATCAATCCTTCATGAGCTTCTGATACTTAGCTATGATTAATTAATGATGAATATGTCATTTTTGTTTATGATCGATTTCATCACGATTCTTCTGTTAAGCTTGGAAAATAATTATACATACTTTTTGGTCAAGTAGTGTCCAATAGTTTTATAAAAATCCAGTAAGATATCTTTAATCATTTCTAACAGACAACGGTTCAAAATTTTGGAAGAAGAGTCTAGTCTAGTTCATTGCATTCACTTATGCGCAAATACTCGTGTGAAAAGTATGAATCTATCATTTTGTAACCAACCTTACTAGCTAGGATTTAAATAGTTGGGTAGACTGGATTCCTTAGCATGAATTGTCCACCAGTTCAATAGAATTTCAACTCTGGCGGCCTCGTAGCACACGGTGTTCTTCACCACCCTGTATTCGGTCATTCCGAAAAATGTTGATGATTTCACCCGTGTAATCAAATCATATGTGCAGTCAGCCTGAATGTTCACTTGCAGGTGCTGAATTCTTGTAAACTTATACTTCAAAGACGACGGGAGAGCCGCCATATTGTTCGTAAAAGGATTGTGAATGTCGAAAATACAACACAATAAATATAAACTGCATAATTTCCACCCCAGGCAGGCAGATTTTGTCTGTTCTTCTTGTATCAAACTTGTTTGATGAATACTTGCTGCATAAACACACACACACACACACACACACACACACACACACACACATATATATATATATATATATATATATATATATATATATATATATATATATATATATATATATTTGTAGAGAAGTTAAATATTTAAATTGCTAACAAGCATTAAATTAATTTCTTTCTGGAGTTTTTTAAACATTTAAATTACTATCAAACGTTAAAATCTATTTTTTATCTAAATTGCTAAAGCTATACCACCCCTCTTCTTCCTCCATAAACCCTAAATACATCTCTTTTCTCTTTACTTACCCCCTTTTTCTTTTTCCCTTTTTTCTCCTTTTCCTTTCCCCATATCATTTCCATTGAGTTGACCGATTAAATAGTTCGATGTCTGATCCTTACCGCCTCCTTCTTCAATATTAAGTATTATAATGAAAAAAAAAAAAAAAATAAATTTTAAAACTCTCCTTTCCCTCTCTAAACACGACCATGTCTCTCATATCATCCTTCGCTACATTATATGTCAACTTATATAAGCTTAATACTGCCTGTCAGAAGTGTAAATTTTAATTTCATTTTTCGTTTCACCTTTTGAAAGTGATGTCTGAAGATCCAGGGAAAAATAAAAGTCTCCGGTGAAATAAATTATTACAATGGAATCTTAATGTTGTCTGTTTTTCTTAAAATTAAATAAATATATATATATATATATATATATATATATATATATATATATATATATATATATATCAGGCATTGGTACCATCACAGAACTTATATTATAGCCAAAACCTTTATTGCCCGACATACCTAGATATATTAGAGACACTACTGACTTTCTCAACAAATTACAAAACATTAACTTAGTCCACCATGATACAATCCTAGTAACGATGGATGTTTCGTCCCTTTACACGAACATTCCACATGTTGAAGGAGTATCAGCTTGCTATGAGTTCCTTAGTAACAAAAAATTAACTAACTACCAAATTACAGATATATGCCAATTAATAAATTTCATTTTAACACATAATAATTTTAAATTCAACAACAAACACTATTTACAGATTAGTGGCACAGCAATGGGCACAAAAATGGCACCGAGTTATGCTATCTTTATGCACATTCTAGAAAAGAAGATACTAGACAATTCAGAATATAAACCATCACATTACTTTAGATATATTGATGACATTTTCTTACTATGGACTCATGGATCAGAAAAATTAAAAACCTTTTTCACTTTCTGCAACAATTTCCACAATACAATTAAATTTACCATGGAGCACTCATACACATTCATCCCTTTCTTAGACGTTATGATAAAATTAAACAAACAAACACTTTCTACCAGTCCATACAACAAACCCACAAACCAACACTTTAACAGCTGTCATCCCCTTAAATTAAAAAAATCTATTGTATGCAGCTAAGAATCAAACGCATAATCTCAGACCATCTAGATTTTCTATACAACATTAATAACTTAACAAAACAATTCCTAAAATAAAAAAAAAAATATAAGCAACAAAAATAAAATAATAAAAGCAACACTAAATAAAACTATCCTGATAAATCGTAACACACTTCTCACATACAAGAAAAGTAAAAACAACAATCGGATTCCCATGGTTTTTAACCACAATCAATATTCCCACACACTTATTCACAATTAAAAAAAAGGATTACAAGAACCTCCAGTTAGACAAAAAGATCAAAGAAATTTTCGATAAACCACCCATAAATGCAATGAAACAATCACCAAACCTATCAGCTATCCTCATCTCTACCAAATATCTAAACAATACAAACCAATCAGGAAATTACAAATGTAAAAAACCTCGTTGCTTAGTTTGCAAACACTTAATAATAGATAATATATTTTCTGTAACCAACACCAATATCAATATACACCCACCTCACCTCACCTGTGATAGCCATAACATAATCTACTATTTATTCTGCACCTTATGTACTAATAGTGGATATATTGGTGAATCTGGAAATAATTTAAGATTTCGCTTCAGCAATCATAAACAAACCATACGTCAAAACAATCCTTATTCCCCCATAGCTGAACACTTTAATCAATCAGGGCACTCATTAAAAAACTGTAAATGTTTATTGATAGATTCCGATTTCAGAAAAAAAAAGAAGAAAAATACTGGATTTTAAAATTAAATACATATAAACTAGGGTTAAATAAAGACTTGGGTATTTGAAATCTTTATAAATATTTCAATAGTAAAACATTTTTTTAGATATAGTTAATTTTTTTTTTATTTTTTTAAACAACATCTAAAATATTATTACAGTTAGATTTACGTTAGGAATATTCGAACACAGTGGCGTTCCATATCCCGTGACGTCCGCGTCTCGCGACGGACGCTACTTGTAAACAAACTGTAATTTAAATTTATTTGTAACAAACAGTTATTTCTGAAGACAGATTGAGGTCAATCTGAAATATCAAATATATATATAAATAAATAAATACTTTCGTAAAAAAACATTATTATTTTTTTAATTTTCAACTTTTTCTATATATATATATATATATATATATATATGAAGAAATATATTTTTAAGGAATTATTTATGCATTAAATAACTCAATATCAGGGATAGAGTGCATGTAAATATAAAAGTGAACATTAAATCAACACCCAGAGACGACAGTGTTGATTTCAATGTCCACTGATATATATTCAACAAAGTTGTGACCAAAAGACATCTTGCCAGATGACAATATGGTTCCCCAGATTCAGTGTATATTTCTAAGATAAGATATTGTCACAATTTACACTATTTACATCGTTCAGACTCTGGTCCTCATTTTTATTACCATATTCACAAAGTTTCGACCTAAGTACGTCCCATCTTCTTCAGGGTCTGTCTGTATTTTTGAGATAAAGAATTGTAACTATTTACAGTATTTACATCGTTCAAACTGTTGTACTCTTTTTATTGTCATATTCACGAAAGTAGCCCGTTGTACTCTCCGGCCTTCGTCAAGTGTTACGCATTGGAATTTCGAAATTAAATCGTGTTAATAGAAATTTTGGTTAAGAAAATAAGACATAAGTGTTTTACTCAATTCTGGTTCAGACAGTTTGCAACAAAACTTAACGTTTTCATATCATCATGAAATCATCATTGCACGTGAATCTTTTCTGGGCAACCAGGATTGCTAAATATTTTTCACAAATTAATCCTGTTGTCCGACTTCAAAGACTTGATGGAAAGCCATTCTCTGCCCCCATGCAATTTTCCTGTAATTTCCTTAGGAAAAAAGAATCATTTCCATGTTACACCGGCCTGCTCGTTAGACACGCTGAGATTCTGGAAAACCGTCAGTTACAATATTGACGTGGAGCAGTCGATCCAACATTGGCCTACGTAAATCCTTATCATCCACAGACAATAGAGAATACCTCTGTTGTTTCCGCAAATGTCTTCATAACCAGGAATACTTTTCGAAATGTACTACCATCAATGTCGTCCTGGGTATGACGATAAACTACGTCCAACTGCAAGGTCTCTGATCAGGAGGTTTTGAGAAGCGTGGAACCACATCTTAATTGTTGGTTTTTCCAGCTCCAACCTGCTTTGCGGTGGTAGCATCTGTTAGGGTCCCAGTTATGAGCAAATAGGTAACCCCGCAAACTGGGATCAACATACTGTGAAAGTTTAAAAATTGGTTTTAATACTAGAAATATTATGTAAAAAGATTATTACAAGCAATACTTTTTTAGAAAAAAAAAGATATTACCGGCAGTACATTTTTGAAGAAAATATTACCAGAAATTTTTGGAAAACAAATGTTACCAGAAACACATATTTGAAAAAAAAAAAATTATACCAGCAATAAAAATATTGTCGGCATATTTATTACAACGTTTTGGCCTTTCAGTATCTGTCTATATTTCTGAGATGAGGTATTATGTACGCTATTTACATTATTTGGACTATTGTCCTCATCTTTGTCGCCATATTTATTACAACGCTTCGGTCGTTGTACACTCCGGCATTCTTCAGTAAATATGACGACAAAGATGAGGACAATAGTCCGAATAATGTAAATAGTGTACATAATACCTCATCTCAGAAATATAGACAGTTATAAAACTATTCGTAAAAATGAGTAACGGAAAACATGGAAACAACATAGTTTATATTATTCATCATTTCCTTGTCACGTGATGTAATACTGTTTAAAATTGTCATTTTCAGGCCAAATGTCGATCAAATATGTATCAGAATCCGTTCGAATGGTAAGATTAAGAATAAGTAAATCATCTTATCTCTTTTGTCCTCAACTTTCAGCTTCTTACAAATAGAAGAATATGGAATATTTGCTTCAAACTTAATTTTCTTTCTTAGCTTTTTCCTCTTGTTTCTCTTCGGTCTCTCTCTCTCTCTCTCTCTCTCTCACTTATTAATCACTTAGGTTTCTTTCTTTCTTTCTCCATATGTAAATATTTTTTACCTTTTATGGGAAATTTTTCAAAGACGGAAATGGAAGATGTTATCCTTTAACTGTATTTTGGAATAAAATAATTCAGTAGTATCATGATTTTCCACCCGAAGAAACGTTAATTATTTAACGTAGAAACAAGATGTACAGTTTTGTAGTGGGCATCTACATATTCTAATGCAAGAGTGCATAACAAATATATATTTATTGCTGTACATTTGTATATGCCCTGTTTTAAGTTAATGTCTTTTGGGAGGATGCTTACCTGGTATACAACATTTTCATATTTACATATATCTCCAACTGGGCAGTTGCATTAGGTTCAACAATTGCAATATATATATATATATATATATATATATATATATATATATATATATATATATATATATATATGAAGAAATATAGTCATAAGATGTGCAATATTTATAGAATAAAGTGCTCAATATCAGAGATAGAGCGTATGTAAATATAAAAGTGGACATAGAAGTCAACAGTCTGTTTCATGCTATATGCAATCGTCAGGCCACGATATTCGTACACATACACATGTTTTATTTATTTTCCAACTAATTTCATATAATTAGCTGTACACAGATGCATAACAAGTAAATTTGCATAGAAAATAGAAACATTTTGATTTAAAAGGAATAAACCCCATTTATCCATTTCAATGTGTGAAAAAGTATTCGGACAATGCAAATTTTAGATTTTAAAATTTTTAAATTGTTTTAATACTCTAGGTTATTCAAGTAGAATATTCTAGAATGTTTTAATAATGTTATCAATAGTTATTTTTAGACTAAAAAATACGAACAGAACATTTTGGAATTGATATTCATGCAAGAAGGTTATAATTATGGCAAGAGGTAAAATTCGCCAAAAGAACTGATTGTTAACCCAGTGGAAATAAGGTAAAAGTTACAGGAAAATTACAGACAACTTGAATATTCCATTTATTACAATTAGATCATTCATTGCAAGATATACAAAACTCATAAATATTGAAAAGTAAAGAACAGGTGCTCGAATTAAACAAAATCCAATGGTTACTCGTCAAGAAGTGCAGGATGATTTGCTTTCATCAAGAATCTGTGTCACTAAACGGACAATAAGAAATGAAATACACAGGAGCAATCTAAAGTCACGATTCCCTCGGAAAACTCCACTACGAAAAAATGGCTTGCTGAAAATAATGTAAATATACTGCAATGGCCAAGTCCGTCACCAGATTTAAACCCAATCGAGAATCTGTGGCGTTATTTGAAAATTGAAATCCAATTGAGAGCTCCAGGAAACATCTCGGACGGGAAGACAATATGCGAAGAAGGATGGAACAAATTGCCAATTAAAATTTACAATTTATTAATTGAGAACTACAAGAAGAGGTTGGTTGCTGTAGAAGTGAATAACGGCTATTCTATAAAGTATTAAATGAAGATTATGCATTCTGTTTTGTATTGTACGAATACTTTTTTCGCCCATTAAAATGGATAAAGGAGATTTATTTGTATTAAATCAAAAAGGTTTTTGTTTTATATGTATATTTACTTATTCTGCATCTGTGTACGGCTAATTATATGAAAAGTATGTATATTCATTAGTTTGAAATACAATAAATTAAAAATTTGTATGTGTACGAATATTTGATTCTCCCCACTGTACACACACACACACACATATATATATATATATATATATATATATATATATATATATATATATAGATAGATAGATAGATAGATAGATAGATAGATAGAGAACAAACAGAAAGATATAAATTTATTTACATAAGTATGAACATACTAAAACAGGCATACATACATAAATACAGATAGATAGATAGAGATATAGAAAGATGGACATTGAGAGAGAGAGAGAGAGAGAGAGAGATTTATAGCTAACGTGATAGATTAATAAACCTCTATATTTGCTATATATATATTCAGTTTATAGTACTCCTCTTTGTCATACCAACAATAAAGATGAGGATAACAGAATATAAATAGTGTAAATAATAATAATACTAATCTCAGACAAAAATAATAAACCTCTATTCAGAACGTTAGCGAGAAGAAAGATATAGGGACATTATTTATGTAAAGGTAAATAAACTGTCACATTGGGAGAAGGAATAAGAATTCCAGTATATATATATATATATATATATATATATATATATATATATATATATATAGGTTTATATAATAAAATATGTTGCCTGTTGACTTCAATGTTCACTAAATATAAATATAAAAGTGAAAATTGAATCCAACAGGAGGCCTGACGATTGCGTCCAGAATGAAACAGCCTGTCACCTCTGAGTGTTGACGTCAATGTTTATACATTGACTTAATATGATTATCAGTTATAAATATTACTTTTTAGATGTAGGGGTGGCTAGAATTTAAGAGGCCTGAGGTTTCATTCCAAGAACAAAGCTACTGTGGCCTCAAGCTCACAGTGGAGAAAGAAAAGTTTAATTGTACCAAAGTTATACTTCTGGAATGCATATTGTATTTCTTCAGGAAGATTAAAAATAACTTCTTCGTACAATGAACGAATATTTTTTCAAGATTTGTTCATAGAAATGGCCTCTGTGTTATGAGTACAAAAGTTTGGTAAATCTTTTCTAAAATTTTTTTAAGTGCATAATCTGAAAAAGAGTGGTTTCTTTTTCACAGGACAAGATGACCCTCCCATCAAATGTGTATTTTAGTAATCATTTTCTGTTTGCCATATTGTTTTGCGAAGAAGAGAGCCCTTCTCTGTTCTTGTAGAATATACACCTGAAGAATATATTTACATTTACATACGCTCTATTTCTGATATTGAGCACTTTATCCCATAAATTTAGCACGCCTTAAAACTATATTTTTTCATATAAATAAATATATATTTATCAGGTCAGCGTATAAACTTTCCAGCTGATATATATATATATATATATATATATATGATCAAAATAAAAGTATAAAATTTAATATTACGAGACACATTAAACCAATATTAAATAATTAAAAAAAACACAACAACAAGGGGGGAGCAACCGGTTTCGCTACCGCTCTTCATGCTTCCACGGGAGATTCAAAATTAAAACAGAGAAATGTACAATAAGAATAGGTGGAAAAAAAAAATATATATATATATGACAGAAAGAACTACAGGCAGATGACAGCGAGTCCCAGCAAACACTCACGTTGTTTGCACAAAGAAGGCTTGCGGGACCCGATGTAAAGCGCCCCCAGATGAAATACAGAGTGTGACCGGGCCAACACGGTGAACCAGTCAACACTAAATTTGGCAGCACAATCTCTGCTATTTAAAATATATATATATCCCAACAGCAGCACCTGAGATTTGATTATAGCGGTGAAGGTTTCGTACAGGACCATCCACACTTTGAAGGGCCGAATACAGAGACCAAACGACCCTCCGCAGGTTTTGAATCAAGAGTTTTCTTTCTCCGAGACCAGTTGCTATCCAAGGTTATAGAACCCAGTATGTCCAGCTATTTACCTTTCACAAGGGTATTAGCACGTAATAGATTCAACTGGAATTCGAACTCGGCTCTCCGATTCCTCAATCCATTACCCCACCGTGCCGCCTCCTCCTTATTCATATATATATATATATATATATTAGAAGGGGCTCGGTCGAGTAATATATATATATATATATATATATATATATATATATATATTAGAAAGGGGCTCGGTCGAGTAATATATATATATATATATATATATATATATATTAGAAGGGGGCTCGGTCGAGTAATATATATATATATATATATATATATATATATATATATATATATATATATATATATATATATATATACTTGTAAAATAGAATACGTTGATTTACCACATAACAAGAAAAGTTCAAATAAAATGCTCACTTAAAATTTTGAAAACTTAGCGTTGCGTCTTTGCACGTTCCGATATTGTACACATCCGTCAATAATAGCACATACTCAAAAAAAAAAAAAAACATCTTTCGGTCGACAAACAATCATTTCGTCTTCAAGTTTTTGATTTTATAAGGAAAACATATGCCTGACGATGAATAAAGGATTATTCGAAAGTACTTGCATTTTAAAAATATAAACTGGAAACAACAGACAACAGTTTTATGAATGAGGATCACATCACTCTATGGATTAACAGTATTTTTAATGCATACATTATACACTACTAGCGATGAATGTCACCAATAATACCATTAATATTACTGATTGATTCTATGTGTAATTATTTTCTTTATATATATATATATATATATATATATATATATATATATATATATATATATATGAAACATAATTTTATACAGACGTTTCTTCTTACAAATCCCTGCAATAGCTATTACAACTTCAATGCTATTTTCTTGGATATTCATTTATCCTCGAATCTCGCCAACAGGACACGACGCATGTGAAGCCAACCTCCAGTATCTTCACGCCCCATACTTTCACAGTGAGCCCTCATCAAACTGGCAAGACGTCAGTTTACACCCTATGTAAAAACTTTCATCGTTTCTAAACCACAGCTACCCGGTCTCATGTGCGTGTCGTTGTCAGTTGGGATTCAGAAGCATCCACTGCGAAGGAGATTAGTCCATCGTTTGGTAGTGAAGTTTTAGCAGATTGGCTCTCTACTGAGCGCAGTTGGTATCTCCGTGTTTTTGGAAATGTCAGCACGATAAGAGATGCAATATAGGTAGAGAAGAAAAGGTTCGCAAAGGTCATTTCCGAGCCAATGAATAACTAATACAGACTCCCACCAGATGGAGTTCAGCCAATTACATAATCAAAGAAATCTGACCCTGTATATCCAAATAGGATACTATTTCGAGCCAATACCTATATAAGATGGTGGTGATTAGTACAGGATTTGCAATCGAGATAAATATGTATTTCTGACTGGAAAGTGATTAAATATAACACAGGCAATGCATAGGTAAAG